TGCACCGCTTTAAATAGTAACCAGGGCGCGCTGTGCAAGGGTTAATATATATATTTTTTTTCCCTGAAGCTCTTTAAAGCACCTCTTTATTGCAGTAAAAATGCTCTTCCAGCCCTTGCACTGCAGCGCCTTGTGGTATCAGAGCTTAGTAACAGCCACAACCCTCAGTATCCCTGAGAGGCCGCAGTATACCGCGAGCTACTGCTTGCGGAATACTGAGACGCCACAGCTGAAGCGCATCCCGACAATTATGTCTGGATCCGCCCAGCTGCGTGAGTGACAGCTGGCTCTGCCTATCTAGAGGCAGAGCCAGCTGTACCCGCCCCTCCCTCTTCCGTTCCGCCAGGTAGCGCTGGTGGGGAGGGGGGAATCCAGCCCCTCCCCTGTCACGGCAAAGAGCCGTGACAGGATCGAGAGGTGAGCAAACGCCTGTATGTGTTCGCTCACCTCCCGATCTACTGAGCCGACCTGTGACAGTCTCATTGTCACAGGTCGGCTAGAACTATGAGGTGAGTGAAAAGCACTCATAGGGGACATTAGGGCTCTTGGAGACCCCTGATGTCTCCCTTAAGAGGACCTGTCATGTAAATTGGTTATCCCATAGGGGGCTTCTTATTTGTGTTAAAAAAAAAAAAATATATAAAAATTAAAGAATCATAAAATAAAAAAAGAAAGCATTTTTTTAAGTCCCCGCCCCCCACATACACACGCAGATATGCGTCGGGTGCGCCTACGTATAGTTTGCCCAGCTCCATTATGTTCTTACAACTTTTTTTTTTTCTTTGCAGGGATAAACGTGCAGTGATTCTCTTGGGGAAGACATTTTTTTTTTATGTTCCGATTTTTATTTTTAAACAAAGAATCACAAATTTGAATACATGTAGGAGGTATCATTGCCCACCACTGCCATGACGTTTTCACAGGAGGACCATTTTGGTAAAATAAGACTGGATGAAAACTGCCATCTGCTGTGACTGAAAACTAAACTTTTTGATCATCGCCAAAAATCGCTGTTGCTTAATTTTACTTCAGAATTGACACTTTTTTAGTACATATATGTATAGTATATATTCATAAAGCAACATTCCCTTTCAAGCATCCTGCACCATTTGAAGAAAATTGTCTTACTCATGGGGAGCAGAGCCGGTGCAGATTATAGGACTAGGAAGTGGAAAGAAGGGGAATGTTTATATTGGACATCTTTCCTGCACGAAAAAAAGCCACAAAACGTTTCAAAATGTTGGATAAAAGAATATGAGCACTTTCATTTTACTGGCTTTGCGTTTTGCAACCTCAGTGTGAACTGTGAAGAAAGAAAAATATTATATTGAAGTTTTGTGGCCTGAGGTGCATAGAATTTTATTTTCCCATCAAAGAATAATGGGATTATCATTTAGGTTTGTGGTTTTTACCAAGGTGGAATAAAACGTAAGTGGCCGCATGGAAGAAGAAAGTGGAGATTTTAAAAAAACAAAACTGAAAAAACGTCTTCACTGTAGACCCCACGGGTTTCGTCTTTTGAGAAAGCGTTGGAATGCGATGTGAGGCTTCATTTACTGACAATAGATCCATTTCCTTAGGTCATTTTTTTCTTTTTTCCTGGCTATAGAATGCGCATAAGACCAACTCAGTTCTGCCAGATTAAGAACTTTTACGCCAAGTGTGCATGTCATCAACTGGAATGCATGTAAATCATTTTTTAAAAATTACTTTCTGGTTTCAATCTGTGTGCAGGCAATTTTGCTGTAAAATACTTTTGCCTTTTCCACTTGTGCTCTTTCTTCATTCACATTGCAAATGATTCCTTGAAAGGTGACCATCTACTTTGTACACTGTCCCGGAGTCTTTGCTGAACAGTTTTCTCATGAAGCCATTAACACAACCATTTTACGACCTTTTATTATTGAACCGTTGCTGCAATCTTTTGATTAAAATAAGAAATTACAGTCACAGTTGAATTTTAGTGTATTTTCAGTAGGTTCTCAAACATGTGCTACAAAAGGGTAAGGTGTGGGGTGTGATTTTTGGGGGGGATTTGTAATGATTTTCATGATGTACTTTAACTTTGTGTGTAGGTACACTCGAGGCACAGTTCACATCTATACTTTTTATTGGTGCGCTGTGAAAGAAAACCAGTCTCCAGGGAAACGGGGGGTCTTTCACCTCTCCCCGTATCCTTTTGGTTGTTAGGCTCACACTCTTGATTTAATACTGTGAACCCCTGACTTTGAACAGGTATACAGGTTAGGAGTCTTGAGTTTCCTCTGATTTTTTTCCCGATCTGCATACTTGTTTCAGGTCAGTGACTCAAAGTACCGAAGTAAAAGCAGCTAAATGACTAGCATTTCCCATATTTGTATCATAACAGGTTTACTTTTAAATTATCTTGCTTGCTACATTTTGGTGTGGTTTCAAAACTGCATCATGAAAAAAAAAAGGAAACGGGCACTAAAAAAAAACCCGCATCTGAGGTAATTTGATTGGAATTGATATTGGTTTGCCTACTGTACATGCCTTTCCCAGACTCTGAACCAAAGTCAATGACTTCATCAGTTTTCCATTTCAAGCTCTTGGAATGTTATCAAGGCTGCACAGTTAGAGGAGAGTCCACCCATGCCCTGCATGTATGTACCAGTTTGGGTGGAACATGGAGAACAAACCCGTAGCTCTGCTGCTTCCAGGATTCATTTAACCGTACAATCTGCGCTCCTGATTAGTACAGTTGCACTTGACTTTTTCGCCAAGTGTCAGAATAGGACATGTTTTCTACTGAGGTACTTTGCACGCCACATGGCAGAACAGCAAAGTGCAAGTATCCAGGTTGGGCATAGAAAGGGTTTAGCCAGCTTCTGATCATAGGAAGCTTATGTATCCTTTTTTTGTGTGTTTTTTTAATATGCATGCTTTCTGTGTGCCAGCAGTCAAGGCATTGTCAGAGGTACAGCTTCAAATGCTGTGAAGCTGCATGATCTTCAGATAGAAATCAGTCTTCCTTTTGCTGCAGGAGAGTAATGGGGAAGAACAGTCCTAAATGTCCCCCCAACCCCAGTGTATGGAGAGTGATCCTGATTATATTAGCACTGAGGTGATGTAGCTTGTTGGTAATGAAGGTTGCACTTCTGACATTGGCCAAACTGCCAGCACAATGCTTTACCTTCAAGAAAAGATCCCAGTAATAGGGTGTGTGTCTGACATTACCCTTAACAGCATACAATTGAATCTTCTTAATAACGAAATTGATCACAATGGTGGTTTGCTCTACAATGCTGCAGGTTATTCTGTATTACAATAAGATTTTCTGTACTCTGGCCTATTGTACTGAAGCGCATATACATTTGTAATATCCGATGAACCACAGGTGTGTATACACATTCTCAGTTATTTTGTATGCAAGTTTCTGTATGGTTTTTTTTTCTGCAAGATATTTCCATTTTTATATCGCAATTTTCTTATTCTCTGCTCTATGGGTGATGTACTAAAAACAGTACATCAAATCTCATCTGTGTTTTCTTCATACGCCCACTCGGACAAATCATTTTTTTTTTTCTACTAAAGATTTCGATTTGCCATGTTGGGTGTTTGGCATAAACTCTGACTTTGTTATATTTCCATAAAACATATGCCTTTTACCACATTACCTGTTTGTAGGTGGGTTTCTATAGTCGATGTGCACATCCTGTGGACAGGAGTCCCAATCATGGCCCCAGGTCCATGTGTTTTGTGTCCTTAGCTTGGAACAATGACACTTAGATCACAGAGCAATTGCACGAAGAGTCTTTGGGATTCCAAAATCAGAGAAAATAAACTGAGAACAGTGTTCATCCTTTCTGGTCCCTGATATGTTTTTCATGACCCCATGTGTCAGCACAGACATAGTCATTAGGAACCGCTTAAGAGGACTACATAAAGTGGATACATCCATTGTTAGCTGGCCATGAGCACTGGAGTTCAGCAAACCCTACTCTAGACACGATTAGCTGATATAACCAATCATTATTAGAACACACAGACATTTGAGGTAAAATAGAATGCTGCATAAAGGGACAGCATATCCACATGATGCACCCTCTGATCTTTTATTCGGCAGCCTTTCTATTTGATGTTTATAGACCCAGCATCAAATTTTTGATGATACAACTTTGGATCAATCCTAGCAATTTGTCAGTGATCCAAAAGCGTGACAACTTCTCTAAATACCACCTGCTCAGTGACGGTAACTACTGTGAGAAGGCTGTGATGTTTCTCTGCAAACATTGCATATAAATATGTAAATAGATCTCTTGTCAATTGTAGATTCTCATCAAGTAATTAGTGTCTGATCCTTGTACACAGTACAGACAAACCTTTTGCTGTGTTCAGTAAAGCAGTTTAAAAGGACCATGTGATATCAAACGCGAGGCATTTCCAGGCTTCAGTACAGAGCATTATGAAAAGCACAGCTAACATATGACACTTTGGTTTTCTGTAGTCATACCAGTGGAAGATGAATTCTGCTTGGTTGCTGTGAGTTACTACACTTTGTACTACTGAATAACATCACTTTTGTTGTATTTGTGTTACAAGCTCCTATAGGCTGGATTCTCAGAAGTATGATCGAGCATGTAAGGGCTGATTTACTGTTGATTTGTTATATTCGGTTAGCCTGTGTTCACTCCGGGGTATTTCATCTGGCTTTGGGATAGAGCCTATTTTTTTAATTTCCTAGAATCTAATCGGCTAGTTAAAAGTAAAGTCCACCTTTTTAAAAAGAACTCATTCATAAAAGAAAAAAAATGCATTTAGAATTGTTTTTGCATTGGAGCCAGTAAAACATTGCAAGTGTAATCAGCTGATCGTGGGTGGAAAGCTCTGGCTCCAATGTGACTGTTTTATGTTACACCCTACATATAGGTATAACATGAAACATGGTATAAAAGGTAAATTTGGCTTTTAAAGTGAATACAGGTGAGGGTGAACATTATGCCTGCAGTAAATCGTGCCCAAGATGTCTGCTTACACCATGAATGTGCTAAAGAATGCCTATAGAGTGAAGCAACAGTATCCTCATTCCTCATGGTTTTTATGTGATTCTTCCTGTCATTTGCAAGTGCCATATGGCTGTAGCATGCTGGATCTATATATATATAGTCTATGGTAGATCATTTTAACATAAGTGGTAGAGATAAAGTGCCAAACTGTGAGCCAAACCCAGGCATAGCTGGTTACCCAGTAGGGGGAAAATGAAACGCATGGAATCCTTCTGCTCATTAATACATTGACTGTAATTTGACTATTAACACTGTTATGTATAAATATTCTTTCTGCTGCTGAAAATGTTGGGACACTTAGAATTTTTTTAAAGGATATTTCAACATAGAGTAACTGTTTTCCTTAGAGATCAGTGATTTACTATTCAAAATGAAATACCTGTATCTCTAGTCTGCATTCATAGGAGCTGTCTGTCTAGAGAGCTTCCATGTACCTTGTCCATCATAGTCATAGGAATACCTCCCATAGGCAAGGTCACGGTTAGTAATATTTGTGCATGTAAGGAAAACATTAAATCTATTTTGCACATTTCTGCCACTGATATTTCACCCACTTGGCTGTCCAGCTCCAGTGTCCAAAGATTACATACCAGCAAAGATTTGTGGATAGACACTGTAAAGCTTAACGATTGCACCTTAATTTCATCAAGTTCTGTGAATAGGTAAAATCTTAAAACTTTGTGAGAATCTTGGTCCTAGAGCAGAAAGATGGCTGAAAAAGGCCTGGCTGTGGTGACACTCATCTGCTGTGCTTTTATTTATAACACAATTGTTTAGACTATAATTTTACCCAATGGTATATTTAATAGGACAAAGATATTTGCAATGTGCTGTAATATATTTTTGCTTCTTTGATTCTCAAAAAATTGTGTAAATCTAGGTCATGTGAGCAGCATTTATTGCTGTTTCCATTTGGAAATTGAGCTTTTCCCATATATAAAATGTAAAAAAAAAAAATGCATGAAAACAGATGTACCGTTTTCCCTAGATTTTCTATACATGTTCGTTTTATAGATCGACCGAACATTAATGATCATGGTGCTTTTCAGTTCACAATCTAGTATTGTTGGGGTCTCATTAAGTCAATGGCCGAGGCTTGCATTCTCCCTGCACTCTGTGTACAGCATGAGATATGGAGAACATC